TGAAGGCTAAAACAGATTGGAAAACAATAGCTCAGCCTTGGATTTTCGGCTGTTTATTCCCCTTGTCCTGGAGATCCAAAAGGAAGATTATTTTTTAAGAAAAGGCTTTCAGCTGAAATCAGCCCCATTCCGGAAGATGGCTTGTTTTGCCCTAACCAGCAACTGCGGCCCTTCAGCCTTAACCCATGGTGAGGGCACGTCGTCACAGCTGGCGGAAGGGTTTCTCCACCATCAGCTCTTGCTTCAGCTCCATTTCTCACCCGGGTTCATCCTTTTTTATCGGCACAATCCAACACACCGGGCGTGGGATGAGGCAAGTTTCGGTGGGTTTGCGGCACCTTGGAAGTTCAACAGCGTCCTCTCGGATGCCGAAAAACGAATGATCCGGATGAGCAGGGACCAAAGGGTGGAAAATCAGTGGAGCAACCCCATGGTTCTTTCTTTTGCTGCTACACTGAATTTCATTTGCACAAGTCCCATTTTCGGTTTGGAACTGTCACAGCTGTTTCTATTGGCAGTGCATAGCTGAGTAGGAGTTGTCAGTGGGGATGCTGTAGGATAGGCGGCTAGAAGAGAGATTCCCCGGGGGGCATGGGAGGCAGTTGGAGGTTGTGGGCTAAATGCATTAACTAGATGTTTCTCCTAAACTTAACAGCAGTGAATTACTTAATGCATATTGATGTTTTTCGGTACCGGAGTTAACACTATATTGGGATGAAAAGTGAATTTCTCAGCAACTTAAGCGTGCTTAGTCTCAAGGATCCATGTCTCCTTCTCTGGAGATATTCAAGACCCGTCTGGACAAGGTCTTCTGCAGCCTGCTGTAGATGACCCTGCTTCGGCAGGAGGGTTGGACTAGATGACCCACAGAGGTCCCTTCCAACCCCGACCATTCTGTGATTCTGTGATTCTGTCTTTATGGCTGACATTCCAGTGTTATTTTTATAAGGTGATCTTCAAAACCATAACATCTAGCAACAAGGTTAAATTCTGGAGCACCGCTGCAGACACCAAAGCGGATTGCATCTGTACAAAATCAAGGAAGGTATGGGGCCTCAGCTAGACTAAATAACGATCAAAGAGAAGATCTGGATGCATTCCCCTTCCCAGCACGTGAAGGCTGTTCAGCTCCAGAATTTGCATTTAGTGTGATATTGGTGTTGCTGTGTGCAACCAGAGCTGAATTCTGATTTCGCTTATGTTACTTTAAAGCAGGTAAAACTCTGAAGCAGCTACAGCTGATGTGATAAGGTGGCTGCATTTATCTAGCACATTTATTTAACCTACTGCAAGGCTTCAGTTCTGCCTGAAAACTAATTGTAAGTTTGAGCCCCTTTAGAAGAGCGGATCAAAGGCGGCCAGTCAAGCTCCCATGCTAAAACAAGCGCTTAATAACACATCAGCTTCTGTGTTTGCTCTCTGACTAAAGAAAAAGGACTGTGAATGTGTGATTAAGGGCAGAATTTGGCTCATTTACAATTCCTGAAAGGGTTGCTGCTCAGACCATAGTCATATTTTTGGAACAGAACACGCCTATAACATCTTGTTGTTAATAATTTACTCCCTGGGTAGTGCTCATTACAACAGCTTCATCTCAGTTGTGTTATGTTCGTAGCTGCTTCACCTACTGCGGTTACGAGAAAAAGCAAATACACACATGCATATGTATGTACACATGCATATACACATAGAGAGGTCAATGCTCAAACACTCGAAGTCTATTAACTTCGTTATCTGACAAGTTCACGGACCAGCAATGAGTGACCAAGTCACACACTCTGAGAAATGCTCTTTGCAAGGAAACTCAGATTTCCTACCCAAGGCTGCGAAGAAATGGCTCTGCAGAGATTGTTTCAGATAAATCCCTTGCTCTGCTCACTTGAGCATCCCCACAGCCACCGACCACTGAGAACAGAATTGTGCAGAAGGGGGGAGACGTCCTTTACACACTCACACACACACTCACAATCATTTGTAATTAATGCAAACGTAACAGGAAGACTGATCAGAGCAGGCTGCTATGGAGAGCTTGATTCCTTGGTGTCAACAGATGTGAGGTCCAGCCGCGCGTGTGGAGCTAACTCCAGTCGAGCAGAGCTGAGATCCCAGTAGGTAATGAGCTCTACCACCAGCTGTAATGGTTTCTCTTTGTTGACATGAAGCGTGGGCAGAGAGCATGTCATTCTGTTTGATCTACTAATCAGCGCTGATTCATGTTTACACTGCAGATAACATTTCATCTGCTTTTAGAAGGTCATTTTCAAGTGATGCTGCATGGTTTCAGCATTGCCTGGTGCCTGCAATTCGAATATCCCTTGAAGGAAGCCAGACCTTAATTTTCCCGTGGGCTAGAATTCATTCAGCTTTTAGCATCAGCACAATTTCTCAAGCTGCAGTATCAGATACTATAGGTTATAAATTACCGGTCACCCGTAAAGCTACAATACAAAAGGCAGAAAGACCTTGTGAACTTCATTTTTAGACAAAGAAACTAAGGCAATGAATAATTATTTTTGTAGAGCTGAAAGTGTTTAACTCCGCATGCCTCGGATTCTGGTACCAAAGCTTTAGCTCCCACTGACCTTAGCAGGCGCAGGCACTTACTATTTCAGAGAAGCCCACGCTAAGCGATGCCTACCGAAAATACTGGAAATGTACAAAATGCTAAATCTCGAAATCGAGTTGTAGGGTGAGTCTCCTGTCTGTGTGGAAAGAATGGTTTGGTTTGGCCAATGGTATTCAACATGTGCCTCGTCAGTGAGAAGGGAGAAAATAAATGACGACGGCCGGTTAAGCCTTGAGATGACACAAGGTCTGGGAAAGCGGTAAATAATTCAGAGCCCAGGTCACTGATACAGAGGCCTCTGGATATGTGGAAAATAAGTCAAATGTGCAATGCGCTACGGTCAAACGTAAAATTGCCTCTGGATGCAAATAGTCTACCTATGGCATGGGGCACCGTTTTGGGAGAACGGTGGCAATGCCACCTTCGAGGTAGATGAGGTTGGTGGTACTTCCTGCGGTCTTGCTTCCCTGATTGTGTTGAAAGGAGACCTCCCAGGAAAGGCCATGGCTACCTTCTGGTGGGTGAAGCTTCTTTCCCTGGAAATCGGAGCATAAGGGATGCTCTGTGTCCAAGTCTCCTTCCAACAGGAGCTTCGGACATACCCTGGACATGTACCTTGAATGGGTGCGAGACCTGGAAATACTCCTCGGTCTTTCATAACCAAAACCTCTGAGCAGAACTTGAGATCACAGCAAAAAACTGATGGACAAGAAGCTAAGGCTGAGCTCATGCCAAAATGACTAACATCCTCTGTGGATGTATGAATTCAAGTAAAAGCAGGCAAATCACATTGCTCCTGTAACTGGTACTTGTGCAACTTCTTACTGGAATACTGTGTCTGGTTCTTATGGAAGTGCTCCAAAAAAGATGTTGACTAATTAGAAAAAGTTTAAGGAAGAGCCATATGAATCATTAAAGCTTCAGCAAACACATCTTTTAGCAAGAGACTCCAAGACTGAGATATATTCAGTTTCTTAAAGAGAAGATTAAGGGACAGTTTTATCTCAGCCTGTAAACAGCTAGAAGGACAACAGAAAATTTGTAACACGTTTTTCCGCCTAGCAGACAAGTGTACAAGAAGATTCCCTGGCTAGAGGTTGTGAATAAAACCATCCAGACTGAAAAAAAATTGAATTAACCAGTAGAGACTAATTTCTGATTAGCTGTTCCAGTTGACGTACAAAGAACTTCAGCAAAGCCCTTTGCTCTGCTTGATAGAGGTTTTACCACTTTATAATCATAGAATCATAGAATCACAGAATGGTTTGGGTTGGAAGGGACCTTAAAGATCATCTGGTTCCAACCCCCCTGCCATGAACAGAGACATCTTCCACCGGACCAGGTAATTGTGACCCTCCCCGTAAACGTGCAAACCTACAATCTGCAAATCTATAAACTACTAACACCGAGTCGTTAAAATTAGTGACTTACAAAAAAATACACCTTAGCAATTTGTTCAGCTAACGTAGGTACAAGAGATTTTATTAGTCATTCTGCCTGATTCCTCATCTAATTTTCCTGTGTTCACCCCCAGGCTGTGTCTTCCCAAAGCCAGGTTAGATGCTGAAAAGGCAGAAGCCCTCAGAGAAGCTCTAGGAAAGTGCATCCACATCAAACGTGTATCCCAGGCTCTCTGCTTAATGGACAAAGACTTGTTCTCGCTCTGATGACACCAAGGAAACACCACTGTCATGGGAGAGGGTGAGCAGAACCATGTTCTCCCTGGCGCAGCTCAGCTCTGACTAAGCTCACAGCCCAGACAAGACAGGGAGAACTCAGCAGGTATCTCAGAGCAGAAGTCATCAGTCAGAAACATCAATTTCTCTTGACTTGTGGTCTGACCAGACCTGACTTGAGTATTGCTAAAGAGGGAGAGGATACCCACGGTGCTAGCTGAGACACTCCTCTGACTGGTGATCAACCAGGCAGAACATTATCCTCACACATTTAAAAATCACCTTATTCCAACCTGGTTGTCCCCCTGGTCCCTGGTGTTTTGACTACTAAATGTCCTCCACATGGGAGAGGCCAGGAGCAGACCACTCCTGTCGAAGAAGAACGGATGCGATGGAAGAGAGGAGGATCACACATGACCAACCGTTGTCTGTAAAAGGTGAGTTTTCTGGGTGGGACAAAGCTTCCTCTCTGTTCACTTGGAAGGTATAACCCACCACATGATCCAAACATTGATCAGGAGTATGGAAGAGCCATATGATGTTAATCTGTGCTGTGCCAGCATGCGTCAACAGGAGGGACTAACAGAGCCATCACCTGTCCAGTGAATCTGCACTTGTTCAAGTGAAGAAGACACCAACCGACTTCATCCAAAAATGGAGGAGGCCCCGTAGGACCATTAACCAGGCAGGCCAAACAAGCAGTGGCATTGGTAAACCCCTCTGAGATATCCCACTGCAGTGACCAGACATATACTGACCTCGGACATCTGCGGGAAGAGACTGATGGCCAAGGGGAGGGCCAGGCCAAAGGCAGCGAGGCACACAAGGCTTTGGACTGGGAGAATCATCCGGGGACGGGACCTCAGGAGCGATGTTCTGGAAAGGAAAGGCTTCGTTAGACCATTTCACAGACGACGTGAGTGCATGCCATCATCAGAAAGGACACTGGCATTCGTCCAGATCCACTGGTCTCCCTCTCCCTAACTGGTCTAGGTTCCTTCTTTGTAGCTCATCAACAAGTTCACCCACAAAAGAGCCTGAGTCCTGCACACCGTGCTTTTGCATCTGCTGGGATTACACAGCTCATGTCAACCTAAGTGCTCACTTCTCCTAGATTAAAACAGGATCAGGTCACACATCTTGCCCCTATTTCAAACCATCTCAGACCAGACCAAACGGCACACGAGGTGATCTGGCCACACGCAGGTGTCAACTGCATTAAGGCTTTGCAGCCTATGTTGAACCAGCAGAAGGAAATTAGATTCTTGAGAGACATTGTGAACTTTGCAAGCCGCACCATGTGGTGGTACTGAAAAAGGCACACGACTTCGTTAATGAGGTAATAAAGCAGTAAACTTGACAATACCCCGATTTGTTAAAAATCAAACGTCTGCAGAGCGGGTGATACAGATGTTTTAACACTTGCTGTCCCCAGGGGATATTTATGAGCTCAAGACTTGTTAACAGCAAACACTTTCAGGCACCTGCAAGGTCAGGTTCTGATAATGACCCATTAAGTGACCCTTCTGATGTAATTAACACCGAATGACAGGGACAACGTTTAGCTGGTAGAAGGTGGCATGTTCAGTATATTCCAGGATACAGGACCTCAGACAGTTCACAAATGTTCAGGTGAAAAAAGTAATTCTTGAGAGGCTTGTTCTGGAGCTATTTACATCCAAAGGACACCTGTCATTCAACTATTTACTAATCTGAAACTACTGGGAATATAAATATATAAATATAATGAATATATAATGAACATATAATGATTATAAATTCACTTGATAGTGAGTTTTGTTTGGATATTCAGTGTATATTAGCAATGTGGAGAGTCAGCAGAGTTGCTGCTGAGCCACCAGCTATGGCCATGGGCCCAACGTGCACCTCTCCTCTATCCATCCTGGTCTTGAGGATGCCGATGCCTTACGGTGTCCTGCCATGAATCATGGGCAGAGATCTGCTAATTAATGCCTTTCCACGGGGGTGATAACACAGGAGCTCTCTTCTAGTCAAGGAAGGTACAACCGTTTACATTAACCGCTAAACATCACTGTGTTTATCATCACCGGGGTTTTAGCAGGCATTTCTAATGCACACCATTCACAAGGTGCCCACGACAGAATCATAGAATCATTAAGGTTGGAAAAGACCTCAAAGATCATCAAGCCCAACCGTCAACCCAACACCACCATGCCTGCTAAACCATGTCCCAGATCTACACATTTTTTGAACCCTCCCAGGGATGAGGACTCCACCACCTCCTGGGCAGCCTGGTCCAATGCTTGACCAAAACCAAGACCAGCAACCCTTCCCACCTCAAGGCGTGCTGCTAGCCTGCTTCGGCACACTCACAAGTGATTTTGCAGGCACGTCTCCCCGTGCAGCCTGCGCCGGCAGCCAATGCAAGCTAACAGATTACCTCAAGCCCTGCCTACTCCACATTTTCTGCAGGCTCCAAACACGCACCTGATGAATTGTAACGGAGCAGCTGATGTGTGGGAACTTGTTACCCTGCTGTACGTTGTCTGTGTGTCTGAATATTCAGACTCTTCGCCCTTTGCTAGCGAAGAGCTTGCTGAAAGCTGTCTTCATCTTGAGAAGGTTTGGGGGAAGTGGGGAAGGAAAACAAGATCCGGAGCCTTCACTCCTCCAATATCTCAGCTCCTCACTAATAAGCTATCGAGACGGAGTTGATCCTATCAATTTGTGCTGTGAAAGCCAAGCTTCTGTTCTCCAATATTTAGCTACTTTGTTTTGCATAGAGCACGATCTAACGTAAAAGACTCCTGCAGAAGGATTTTGTCCGAGTCAGGAAAGCAGATTACCTCGCTCCACGCTCTTTAACAAACGCCACGTTCAAGAACTGCCATCATTCAGCTGCGATAACCAGTCCCTGGGATGCAGGGGGGCAACTGCTGGAACTGCTTTAGTCTCCTGCTTGAGCTGCCATGATCCATGGGAGCCCTCGCCGAGCAAATCATACGACCAGCATCCCTCAGGCCTCCCCGGAGCACAGTTTAGAACAAGGCATCACTGCTTATACCACCCCTGACACCTTAATTTGAAAGCTGCACCCTCTTTAATTACTGCCCTTTTGGGGACCTTGTAATCACCCGAGTAAAAACTCCACCAATGTAGAATGCTCCCTGGTACAGCCCCCAGGTGTGATTTCCAGGAGTGCTTCAGACTCAGGCCAGTTCAAATTACAATGGCTAACCTCCTAATTAAGAAGAGTTACGGCTTGATTTAAAAAGGAGAGGGGACTAATTAACACATGTAGTGTAATGTCTTAATTGGGATTCAGATTCTAAAATTTGTGCCGTTCAGAATAAATGACTCATAATTAGTCAGGAGGTCCAGTCTTCTTCTGTCCCTCGGATCTTTGCTCTCGACACAGATCTCGGAAGAATATGAAGTCCAATATCGCACGCTGCATTTTGTTAGCTGTCAAATGCAATCAAAACCCCTCTTTTCACCCATTAGCCCCCCCATCGGAAGTGAATGATTAGAGGTTTCCAAAGGGTTTAATTGCACAGCACTACAGCAGATTAAAAATAAACAACCTTAATTTCCATTTGTGGAAGAGTGAATGCGTTTACAGCGTCGCCCCGTGTGCTCTGCTAAGGGGTCTGATCAGCGGAGGCCGGGACCTTTAGATCCCCCCGACCGCCCAACTCTGCCATTGGCCTCTTCGGAAGCAGACCGCTGTATTCACAAGAGCAAACACCATTTAATCCTGCCACTAATTCTGCAGAAGAACTTGAAAGTATTTTCACATGGGAACAGTGGTTTTACAGACTGTCCCCACGCGCGCAGGACAGGACTGGCCAGGCTCCGGTGACCTAAACCTTGGCGCTCGGATTAGATGACACGGGACTGAAAGGTCTGCACCAAGAGAAGGTCTTGCCTCGCAAATCTGCAGGAAGACGGCAATAGGTGTCTTTTATTGTTGCCAATTTTCGAAGCCAAATTTTTGGCACCCGTGGTCTGCCTCGCTGGCAGAAGCGATCCGTGTTTATACATCGACCTTTGGATGGCAAAGAACACGCGTTTTGGCGATACTTCCCTCCTCCTCTCTCTTTTTTCTATAATTTTTTTGAAGATTTATTTCTTTACCTCCCTTCAAAACTCCCTAACGCCTATTCTTTCTGCGATTTGCCTTCATAAAGTTTGCCTGGCAGCTATTGAAAAGGCAGTAACACGCTGGGGAGCTGCTGGCTTACCGATCCTAGGTAGTGCTTACTGTTAACAGCTCTACCTAAACGAGCAAGACCTTACGGATAACATCTCGATACGCAGGAGCGTGCCTGTACGTAGGTACATACACAGACACACACATACTTGTACCGACGGTACATCTGCTCCGCAGAGACAGTGTGTTGTAGATCTTGTAAATACACCTTCATTCAACTTTCATCACATTGTTCATTAGTGGTTTAAATTTTGCATAATTTGGCAGCTGCCTCTGGCGTTTTTCAAGAGGTACTGTAATTTATTCCATATGGAAGTCAGTCGCTGTACTAAAAAGGAGTTATCAGGTTCAGTGAACCAGAGCCGTATTTGTCTAGAAGGAGGTGTCAGATGCTAAACTAAACATGACAGGAGTTAACCAAAGTCTCCCAGCTGACAGATTCTGTGGGGTTTCTGTAGTGTTTGGTATAAACAGGTTCAAAGCTAATACAGACATCGCAAGATGCCGAGGACGCCGGCGGGGTGGTGGGTGTCAGGAGGATGGGGCCAAATTCTTTTCTGCGGTGCCCAGCGACAGGACAAGGGGCAACGGGCACAAACTGAAGCAGAGGAAGCTCCAGCTGAAGATGAGGAAGAACTTCTTCCCTCTGAGGGTCCATTCTGTGATTCTGTGATTCTGTAAGCAGAGCACTGGAGGCTGAAGCTCTGGGTGTCCTGAGGCATCCCAGGCTCCTCGGAGCCTGGGGTTCAAAACACCCCTCTGAAGTGCAAACCAACTTCGGGGTGGTTCTCCTACCCCAGATCCCAGCGCTGCTGAGAACCTCCCAGAGCCAGTACCGTATCGTGCCTCTGCTTCAGAGAGCCCATCGGGTCTCCGGGCTATCTGCAGAGGGTGTTTTCTGAGCTTTTTGGGTCACTTGGGAGTCCTGAGCTCTTCTAGCCACCAGTAGCTCTGTCTGCTGTCCTGCCCAGCCAGGCCACCGCTGTCTTCACCAAGGAACATCTCCTGCTCCTGGCCACAGCCCCAGTGCCCCCTCCAGAGGAGACAGCAGATGCAAACAGAGTGAGGCTGGGGGATTCTTGTACTTGATTGACATCATTAAAGGAGCAGTTTCGATGTTTACTCTGGAAACAGGCACAGCAGTTGAAGGTGTCAGCGCTGGCAGCTGTTTAGTTTAAACAAACTTCAGCGAGGGTTTAGCTGGACGGAGAGACTTTGCGCTTAAGAGGAGGGAGAGCACCTGTAGGAAACATTCTGCACACGCCGTCAGAAGGAGAATGTTTCCAGCAAAAGGCCATGAAGGTGAGGTTCAGGAGGGCCTCCTACCTCACACACATTTCTGCAGTGAAAAACGTGGTTTAAGCTGAAGAAAACTCCACAAAGACAAGGGCTGAGCACTGGCTATCCATCAAGAGAATCCATTTCTCATGGTTCGACTTAGCTATGCCAGAGCAGCTCTGCCACGTTCATCAAGCCCGAGAAGGTCCTAATTTTATGAGCTTTACAGGAAAACAGCCCTTACTGCTGTATGAGGATGCTGACACTCTGCGGCAGCTCTGCCACAAGATCAGGATGATGTGGAGATGAAGAAAGAGTAGAAACGCTCCTCTTCGATGGACACAATTATTCTGCTCCCTGCTTCTCTCTCAACTCTTGCCCATTGCCAACAGTTCCAGCTTTA